TCTATAAGGTATTTGTGTCTATTTGTCTTTACCCATTTAGGGGGTGGTGAAAACAGGGTAGGTCATTTGGGCTTTTTTTAAGCAGTGTGGGGAAGTTGATGGATCAGTCAGAGCCTTCGAATCTATTTTTAGTATCAACATTGACAGTAAGTGTGCTCCAAACTGAAATGATTTATCCTAGAAAAAAAAAGTTATTGTAATGCAAATGATGGTTACTCTAAGTTGCTAATATTAGATACTAGTCCTCTGATTTGATTGTTTTTGTTTTAAGTGTTCTAATTAGCAAGTATTTATCACCATGCATTTTCTTATGCTAACTATGCTAAGATAACCATACCGCATAATAAGAAGCCATATTTAAAGAAATGACTTGAGCTGTATACTCTTTATGTATTAAAACTTTGAAAATTGAATGTTGGAGCTTTCAAATACCGCATTGCTTTTAGGCCAGTCATTATGGTTGGCATAAAGATTTATTGGACTATTCTGGGGACATTGTAACAACACAAAATCTTAGGATGCCTAAGTAAAAAGAATAACTTACCCAAACCCCTCTCTTCATATAATTCTACTTTTCCTTAGGGGCAAATGACCAAGGCGTATATTTGTAATTCAGTGTTTTCCATGATAAGTATTTGTCAAATGCCTTTAGAATAATTCAAGACACAAAGCTGATAATCTATTATTCAATCATTAAAACTTCAGGAATAGTAAGAATCTTGTCACTTGACTCAATAGATGAGTCTCAGAGAGGGAGACAAAATTGCTTTAGCTTGGGATATATTTTGTGATAATACTCAGGTCGATTTTATAGCTGACTTCTTCTAATAGACACATGAAGAGGAAAAACAACTAATAAGTCATTTGATGTAATATGAGCAACGTTGAAGCTTCAAGCGTTTTGTAAGGGCTACAATCCAGAGTAAATATGGCCTCCCGGTAGAAGGTGGTTACATTATGAATTAATTTTTTTTTTCAGTACATCGAGGATTTTATTTTTTATCATTAGCATTCTGAGATTTATTTTTTGAAGGGGAGATATTTCATAGTAAAATAATTTTTGTTGATACTTGGTAAAGCATCACACTCACACAGGAAGAAGCATAATTTTCCACATGTAATCAGGACATAAAATCAACAGCAATAATGGTCTGTGTTAAAAGAGAGGATGTCTGATGCTAAAACATGAAACCTTACATGCAATTATGACCTAAGCCATGATATCAGTTTATGACTTTGAATTCTACTATAGATTGAAAAATTGCTGTGAATATTTATTCTTGAATTTTTTAGAGAGAGTATGTGAGGAGGGAGAGGGAGAGAATCTTAAGCAGGCTTCACTCTCAGTGTGGAGCCCTATGTGGAGCTCAATCCCATGACCCTAGGATCATGACCTGAGCCTACATCTTGAGTCCAATGCTCAACCAACTGAGCCACCCAGTCTACTGAAATCTTGATACTTACTTCCTAATTAACTTGTTATGACAATTTTCCTAATTGACATCCTTGTATTCAGGTGGTTGGGTTGGCCACATTCTACCCCAGATCACCATATAATGTTATAAAGAAAGCCCTTTGTGACTTGAAATTACAAGGTTATTCTTTTTCTTCAAGTGCTTATTATAAAGAGTGAGACTCACCCTGTCACTCTTTGCTTATTTTCTTCCTAGAACTTTTCATTTTATGAGATAATCTTATTTATTTTTGTACTATTTGTGGTCCACATTTCCTTGCCAATCCAGAAGCTCCACAAGAGTCAGGGCCTTTTCTATCTCTGGTTGGTTGGCTACTATTTGTTTACCAATTCCTAGACTAGTAAAATAGTGCCTGACATATGTAGGTACTTGTTATCATTTATTAAATAAATGAGCAAATGAATGCATTAAAATCAACTAAACATAAAAAGTATAATAGTTGATTTACTTAACTTCTCTGAAATACAACTTTCTTGTCTATAAAACTGGGAGTAATTAAATTTAATCCAAAAAAGAGGTGAGATTATAATTGAAGAAGTAACGTTAATTAAGTGTCTTAATTCAGTGTACAATGAACAATATAGCTTAACCCATCTTAGTTAACTTACTTCTATCTTTGAACAGTAGACTGTCACGTAAAATTGTTATCCAGAGCCCAGATCATTTACATAACTCAGGCAATTCCATTGTGGACTTTGAATTACAGAACGGACTATAATTCATCAAATGCTTGACAACTGCCACCTCTATTCCTTATTCGTTTCATTTCAGTACATTGCTTTATAGGTTATACTGCCACATTAGAGTAAAAGTAAATCTTATATAGCACAGAATTAAACCCTTTAAAACCATAAAGCATATTAAGGTGATATTGATGCATTTAAAAGTAGTTTGTATTTAACGTCTTTATTTTACAATTTAGGAAACTGAAGCCTAGTGTCGAGTTGAAAGAACTTGAAAATCATTTCACTGCTAAAATAGGGCAGATGTACTGAAATTAATCAATCACTCCAGAACCCCTGACATTATAAATGATCATGTTGCTCTTCCTGGAGAGCTTCAACTTTGTTCTGGAACCATTCTCAGTACAGCGTCCCATACTGATAGCCCCTTTCAGAGTTGGTCAGAGTTGGCATGCAAGGTGAATCCATGTGCAATCACAAATGAAGTTTAAACCTCTTGCTTAGATTAGATGTATGCAGATTATTGAATGACAGAGCAATACAGGAATTAGAATCTGATTTTTTTTTTTTACTTCTACTTTACTGATGCTCCTTTTTTAAAAATCAAACCCATTTACTTGTAAGGACTGCACTGCTTCAAGTTGGATAATGGATCACAGTAAAAATAAGTCATTTGTAGATGTCAAAAGATGATATGTAAAAGGAAACTTATATTTTAATATTTTACTTTGAAATTTCAGTTATTATTTAATGAATTTAAATTTGTTATATTATGGTGCTCTGCTCTAAAGCCATAACTTATTAAATTTATTTTTTTTCTGGGCTTTCAGATCACCTTTAAACAGCGACTTCAGTATAATGTGCTATACATTCATAATATACTGAAATGCCATTAAGTCAGCTATAAATTCAAGACGATCTGTAAAATCCAATTGGGTAGTGAGATTGACCCGAGGACACAAAGTATTATATCTCTCTAGAATTTGGGGTATGTCTTTCTTTGGCTTTATATTTCCTTAATTAATCGTAAGAACAATAGGTAACTTTCTACAGATGTCCAAAAGCCCTTAGGTGTGGTGGCCAATGAATTCAGAATCTTCTGGTAAGTTGTAAACATCAAGAAAATACTGAGTTCACCATATTCATAAAATTCAAATGGTATGAAATTTTACCAAGACTTTTCATCTACAGTACTTTTCAAACTGTCACTTTCCTGCATTATAAACCAAACTCATTTATAGACACTGCTATATGACACGTAACAATTGCATAATAAGAAAAACTATATATTTTCAAAAATATCTGGCAAGATCTCACATGCTTTGGATCTATTCCATTTATATTTGACATCTTACACATTTTGTATAATTTGTATACATTTGGGGTAATTTATTCAGGTCTTAATGAATAATAATTATGAATCAATTGAAATTCTCATGCTTTGTAACACTCTGATCCTATAGCATCTTATATTGTATAACTATTAATAGTGAATAGAGGACAAATTTTTAAATGAAATGATTTCTTTTAAGCATTGTGTTTTCTTTATTGGCCCATGGATAAATACCTAGGCCAGAAGATTCTTTAGAGTTAACATAGGAAATGTTTATACATTGTGAAGCGACATACTTATTTTTCTCTAATGACATATTCTATACCATTTCCTTTTAAATATTGACTTTCAGGAAACTTAAATATAAGCTTAACATTCAACATATTAACTAGTTTTATTTTAACGATCAACCTTTTTGTTCCTTCATTCTTCTCTGTGGCTTTAATTTCATTTTTATTCTGTTTTAAGTGTTGACTCTATGTTATAAGAAATCTGATATTCTTTCTGGTAACAAGTGATATATTGGAAACTAAGTGATCACTACCTATAAAACCTGATTAGATCAGTTAAAATAATCTGTAAATGTAATTGTTCTAATATTTAATTGTGACATAACATGCTTTCTGTGCCAAGCCAATGTATTTATCTTATCTTTAAAATTTATATCCACCACGAGAAACAAAAAAATGAGTGGACTGGGCTAGTTCTGAGAAAAAGCATAGTATGTATTTGTAAGGTGCAATTAAATCTTTATGAGACAATCTTTCTCCTTTTAGTATCAATGCTATTTCTTTAAATAACAAAACACCAGAGGGGCAATTTATATTTTCAATAATTTCAAGTTATTCCTTTTTTGAGTTAGAATACTTTTTAACTGGAAGAACATATTTAAAATCACTAGTGATTACTATAATAGCAAGATTTTTCATTACCATATATCTCACTTTCATAGAAAGTAATATTTCTTATTGAAACCGAGGAAAAAAATACACACATATACATAAGTATATGTATATATATGTGTATATATATGTGTGTGTGTGTGTGTGTATATATATATATATATATATATATACACACACTTGCCATTGCACGTGTATGTATTTATGTGTAATGATATGGGTCTGTGTAGGGATGTATATTTGAGCAAATAGCAATTCGTTTAATCTTAGCCCCAGAATCATATCATGGAGATTGCAGAAGGGATGAACTATTAGTTAATCGTTTGGTAAAATGTAGTGACCAAGAATTTTAAATCAATGTGATTCCTCTAGTTTCACTGGGCATATGTTTAAGAAGAACAATATGCTCAATTTTTCATAAGGGAAGCATCTTTATCAAGTATAAATATACAGATTAAAGTAAAATTTGAAAAGCATATGTCTTACTAGAATTGGTATCTAAAACACATAATTGAAAAAGGTCTCTAATCACTACAATACCCACATCCCTCCTCTTCAAACTTTTTTTTTCAGTTAAATAAATGATAGCATGTAAGTTTTGATCCTCTTTGTTTTGACTATCACGTTTAATCATGGTTACACAGTAGCACCAAAATCAGGACAAAATACAAGTATTACAGGAGAGATCTTAAATTATATGAGCTCATTGCATGCTTCAAAGGTCTCATTTTTTGAGGAAAACAAAGTTTCCAACTGCCAAACTGGTGCGTTTTCTCCCAAAAGAAATAGAACCCAATCCACCCCAAACTAAACAAAAGATACAATAGACTGATTTTTGAATAGATAGGTTATCTACAGTTTATGGGACAGGTAGTCCATTGAAATAGAAAAAGATTGATTTTACATAAAGCAAGATAGAGTACAAAAGCACAGCTTTTGTATTTTGGTAATATTGCAATTTTACAAACATATTGCATAGTATGTGTAAGAAAATAGTTCCATTTTTCATATATCTATATATACAAGAAAACATTTACATGAAAATTACAAAACAAAATAAATGAGTAGTGAACCTGGTTTAAAGAATTGTATAAATAACGAGACACTCAAACTTGAAATTATGTATCTCCATTGTTAGCGAATGTCCTTGCACATCTTCAACCCTGTTTGGCTCTTATTTATAAATATTCAGACAAATGAGGTATTAAGACTGCAAAAACATAAATGATCACAGTTCATTATACCTCATTTCCTTTCATGTTTTTCATTGACTTTCTCAAAGAGTGGAACTGCTTCAATCAACACTTAAAAAATAGCCCTCTGGTTCTGAAAGTATTTCAAATTAATTACATTCTCCAAAGAATTTTTACCAAGCAATGAAAGTTGAAACTCCGCTGAGTAAATCCATCCGGTGCCCATTTTAGGATATAGTCTTTATATACTGGTCTTATGAGTATCAAGGAGCTTATTATGCATGTATAAAAGGTAAGTGGACTATACTAACAAAATTTTCCTTCCAAAACCACAACGGTAATTAATGATCTACAGCTCAGAATCCTGCACGGAGGATGTTTACTGCCTCATGTTATAATTATAAGCCCTCCTATTCATTTGAATAAATTAGTAGAAGCAGCAGGGTTACAGAGCTAAATACAATAGAAATCCCAGTCTTTGGTCTTTGATATTTAGATAACTAATGAACTGCAGTATAAAACAATATGAATAACAGTGTTCAATGAGGTCATTCATTAGTTTATGATTATTTTAAAAGAATAAAAATACAATATCATTTTACTTTGTGATAATGATATTATGCAATATATGCAATATACATTACTATCATATACTACTACATAGAGAAAATACGTTCTCCAGGTATCTTTTAAATATGGTCACATGAACAATTCGAATTAGACCAAAGCTGCTGGAAGAATAAGGTAAGGCCTTACTCTTAAGTAACTCAAATGTGAATTTGGCTTTGATGGCTGTATAGAAAATTTGGCCAATAAATATCTTCAGCTATTTTAATAATTTAATATTAGGATACTGACACTGTTATAAAATATAGCACTTAAATGCATTAAACACTCTCCAGTCTTCTCCCAACTGCTGCTTCACACAGAGATTCCATGTTTGCAGTGACACAATCCATGAGGAGTTTTTATTGCATCCAATGCCAGTTTTATGAAATGAGGCACAGTCCAATTGAGTAATTCAGAGGGTAAAATATGCAGCAAATTTGAATGGTTATACAAATTCAGCAACTGACTTTGGTGATCAAATTACCTTTTCTTCAGAAGACCAGTGCTTTTTAGTCTGATGGGGATAAAGTAGGAACAGAATGACCAATAGAGTATTAATATTTGGTAAATATCTCTATGAATTTCCTAAACAGTCATTGTTAATGAGACCCAAATATATTCTCTTTCATATATTTAATGTCAACCATAGTACTGAAGCCTGTCAATGAAGCATTATTTCTAAAAGAGACATTAGTGTCCACAAGGTAAGAGCAAGAAAGAATATAGAAAAAGGATTAAGGAGCAGGGTGCTGGAAAGATCCGCATTTTAACGTTTACAACCAACATGTTAAGGTAGAGAAGATCACTAATGCTAGTTTAGACGATGCTACTGAACTCAAGATTGCTGAGTCTCTTCTTGAGTGAATCAGTGAAATTTAGAGATGAAAGTAACCAAAGGAAACTTCTAGTTGTCTGTACCACTCTCACAGGTAAGTAAACTGTGGCTGAGATAACGAAGCACATTCCTTAAGTACCTTTCTTGAGTAGATAAGGGCAGAACTAGAACTCAAACTCCAGGCTCCGTTTTCAGAGATTTGGGGGACTGAAATCTAAGATTTCCTGATTAGTGTAAAAGTCGAAGTATAGATTGATCTTAAATCCTTCAATAAATAATTATGTACCAAACTATCAAGCTTGTGGTTCCTAATAAAATAAGGGGGGGGGGATAGGACCAAGAAGTACAGGGTAGAAATTTTAGAGAGGTTGAGCAAAAGAAACAGGAAATCTGGAAGTATATTTTTTTGAGCGTGTCTCATTTAAATATTCTAAAAGAACAAAGAATAGTGTGTCTTCTTTGCTTCTCTCCTTTCAACCGCCCCAGAATCAGAGCTCAAATACTTGCTGTTTATTCATTCCCAGCTAAAAATTTTAATGCTAGGAATACTGTCAATCCCTTTCTTTCCTTGTATACTCCCTGCCTGTGGGCCTGCCTTCCTCCCTTCTTCTCTTCCTGCCTTATCCAGGATAACAGAGTTTGTTATCTATGTGGGACACCTTAAAGGAATTATTTTTTTCCGAGTTAAATTTAGGAAAGATGAAACCTGCATCTGAGTAAACTGCACTATATTTATATGTGTTGTCATATAAAAAAATGCTATTGGAGAAATATGATGAATCTGTTTAGTCTGCAGTTAAAGAAACTCTGTAATAGGAAAGAACCAAGCCTTCATTTATGAGGAAATGAAGGACTTTTAGGAGCAATCGTCTATGCCTTCAATAGAAACTCAAACTCTGAGGCTGAGTCTATACTTAGATTTTCAGGAATCTAAAACAGCCAGTCGAGTAATTTAAACCAACCACTCAGTGTTGGATAGGAAAAGCCATCTGTATCACAATTTTTTGTACTAAATCAAACAGATATTTTTACATCATTCAGACCTAGTCTAAATCTCTTAACATGTATTTCAAATTGTGTCTATACCATTTCATAACCTATTTGAATGTGAAATTGGACAGCCCGTCACTGGAATTGGATTTTATACCGTTTGTCTCCTCATTCTCTTTCCTTTTTTCTCCTCTTATGACATATAATTTTACATTTCAGCGGCCCTTCCACCTCCTAAAATTTTTGCTCTTGGAATTAGAACATGCTAGAGCTGGAAGGAATCTCAAGAGACCATTTGACTCAGTACTTTTGTCGTATAGTTGAGTAAACTGGAGTCTGGAGATATCCCCAGACCGCCTAAATCAGCTCACTGATCAGTAGAGGACAGAGCTGAGATTAGAAACAGCGCTAATTACTAATCAAAAGAATTGTTACCATTTGACTAAAAAAACTTTCTAATTGTTTTAATTGAGGGATGTTTAGAACTTGAATATGTCCAAATTAATGCACAGTGTTTTCCTAAAAGGTCCATAACACAGTGATTAGCACCCATGATTTCTCAAAACTTCTTGTGTTATATACTTCGTGTACTTGGCTAACCCAGCATGAGAATTTCTCATATTAAATTCTAATGTTTTCATTTACAGAAGTTGAACTCTTACGTTATGATAGGACTTTGTAAGCAACTGCATAGTGCTTACTTCAATAGGAATTTGAGTTTTCTATAATAACTTCTAAGCACAAGTCAAGTTCTATTGTAAAAAGTGATAAAAGTGCGCTAGCTTTCTGACTTTTTGCTGAGTACAGAATGCATTTTAGTAAAATGGAGCTTTTTCAAGCATTCAGTAGGTTAGGTTATCCAAACAAGGGTATGTATGTATTCTGGCCAAATGGTTCAGTTTGTTGCTTACATCACCTAATTTTTCCTACTTTTGCTAAATTATTCAGCAGGGTCCCATCCCCACTTTGCTGCCGTGGAGGCCTGACTTCCAAAGGATCTACAGTCACAGAGCCCTGAATGAAGCTTGCACACGCCTGCTATCGGGTGCATGGGGGAAAAGGAAATTGATTGACATGTGAAAATTAAAGACTTACCTTAATCAACTCATCTTCCCATAATAGGAAAGACTTAAATACAATTTTACATTCTTGGATTCTGTAAGTTTCAAGAATTCCAGTTAAGGAGTGCTGTGAGCAACAAATCTGCATTATTCTGGAGTTATTTATTCGTGCTACTTTACAAAAATAAGCAGTGGAGAATGGAAGGAGCTAGGATTTCTGATGCCAGGGTAGCTTAACAGTCTAATAAAGGTAACCAAATGTTAAGAGCTGAAAGGAAACACAACCAAATTCCTTAAAATAGGAATATAATGGAGTAAACACATTTTCAACATATTTGTTAACATTTATAGTTTTTACTGTTTAAGCAGGGAGTTATAATTTACTTTCGACCATCCTTAAATCTTAATCTCCAATAAAAAAGAATACATAGATATAATTCTGAAGGTTATATTCCAATGGAAAGTGAACCCATTCTCGGCATAATGCATCACATTAGTATTAATTTATTTAGAGGATATGGTTGAATTTTAGCAGTCAGAGTCAAATTTAAAGGGAGTGGAGAAAACAAAGAGTTGTACTATGAGAACCTAGTGTAAAAGATAGCAGGTGAATTAAAAAAAAAATCTATGGATTCCATACCATCAGTAGATCTCTCTTAATCCTATTTTATATCGGAATAAATTAGATGTTTCGTTAAAAGCAAATACGTCACATGCAAAAGCCAAGTAAATACTATATAAGGCCATTCAGATCTGACAAATGACAGTATAATGGCATTTTGTTAATTCTGTAAAGATTATATTGCTGAGTGCTTTCAAAATTACCTAATGTACAAAATTCTAGACTTAGTAGACAAAGAGTAACAACACACTGAATTCAAAGAAACAAATAAAACTCAAGGTGGGGTTCTGTCTTGTTTTGTTTCGTTTTGTTAAAAATCATGTATCGAATTTAATTTTTAGTAAAGCAAGCATTATATAATGCTTCAAAATTTTAAAATTCGGGGATAAAAGTTTACATCCAAAAAGATGATTGGAAAATTGTGCTTTCAGACTGTCGAATTAGTTTTCTGACAGGGTCAACCATCTCATCTTGCCATTGGATACTGAGAATTTCATCTATGTAATGTGTATGTGTGCAGTTCATATCCAGGTCCTGCAAAAATCTAAAACTGTGTGCTTCACTTCATGTAGCAAAGGCACCTATGTTTTTCTCCCTTTTGAGCAAAAGTTATGATCCAGTTTTCCCGTGGAAGGTGATTTTTTTCCACTGTTTTGTCACCCACACTCTCTGCGTTGAGCAGTACAGTAAATCACAAGAGAAGGTGGCAGCGAATCCCTGCTTGCATGGGAACAAGTTGCTCTGTGGACCATTCGAAGAAGCTCTGGACTGATCACAAGGGAAACCGAGCAGAACTGTGAAGCAGACGGACGGGAACAAAAGGCTATTCTGGTGTGAGGAGAAATCAGTCACTTCAGCTCCACAAGCAGATGCTGCTACTGGACTGACAAGTGGAACCTAGTCCCGCTGGAGAAAGGTAAAGTTTGCCATTGGGGCAGACACACAGTTCGTACACTGCCTGCCGAGAATTTGAGGAGCTGGGTGAAGACGATGAGAAAGAGCCGGTCGGTAGATTCCCCAGCCGGATTTTCTCTGCGTTCAAAAAGATCTAGGGGGAAATGAAAGTGCATTTCAATTCATTTTAGCATTCTACGTTCCTCGGAGCTTTACAACAGGGTCTAATAAGAAAGACCAAACAACAAACAATGCTATTGGTTTTAGTTGCCACGCTTTGTTGAACAAACAAATTACATTCCGAAGGCACAGCCCAAAAGCTCGGCAGCTCTCTGCTCCTTTGAGACGTGGTGCATTCTGACAGAAAGCCCTCGATCTGAAAAGCAATACTGCGCAATCTGCTTAAGGGGCCAACCCACTTATTCAAACACCACAGAAAATTAATGAGTTTGACAGAGTCTCTCCCTTTCAACTTCTCAATCGTGCCTGGTCTAAAGAATATACAAAGAAATAAGGATGTGCATGGAGAGGGCGTTACTGAAAGGATGGACAGTTAATAATTAAAAAAAACAAAATTACTCTCTGGCCTGATGTTTCAAAAGTCATAAAATCGTGTTGACAGAGAGTCTGAAGGAAATATACCAAGTAGATAATTCACACTATTAACAACAATTATTAGATGCAATCAGGTTTGAAATCTCCATGAAATGTACTACTTGTATGCCACACTTCCTTTGCTGTATTTTCTAAGTTGCAAAATTACTTCACTTATTCCAAACATGGACTTGCCACGTTGAGGGACAGTGATCACGTGGTTTTGACATGCAGGGGGAAAGTTTCAAAGAAAGAAAAGCTGAGTCATGAATTTGAGCAAAGAAACCGCTTTCTGGAGCTATTTCTTCATTCCATTGTTAGGTAGCTAATTACTGCCTACAGGCGTCTCTAAATTGACAGGAGAGTCTGAGATTACTCCATTTCCCACATATTTGCTCTCCTCCAAGTCCTATTTGTTTCTCACCGGAAATCCTAGGATAGCCCCCTAACTGGCCTGCCAGCTGCCATTCTTGTCCTCTTAGAGCCTATTTTACATCATCTTGCTTAGTGAACTTCTAAAAACTACAGATCAGGTCTTGTCCCCCACCCCTGCTCAAAATTCCCTGATGGTCTCCCACCACATTTATCATGAATATGGATTCCTCCCCAAGACTCAGGAGCCCTCCAAGATCTGGCCTCTCTCTAACACCATTTCCGGTCACTGTCTTTGCTCCAACATTTGCATTTTCTCCAATATATCAAAAGAACTCTGGCCTCAGGTCTTGTTTACTCCCTATTTCCTCAGCCTGGAATACTTTTTTGCTCCAGATATTTACAAGTGGGGTTAGCTATTCACGGGCTGGTTAGAAAACGGGGGTAGGAGGGTGATTTCTGCTTTTTGTCTTTTTTGGGTATTTATTACTATTTTTAAGTATGTATGTATTTAAGTTCAAGTTAATGAACAACTACTGTAGTATTAGTTTCAAGAGTCTAAATTGAGATTCATCACTTACATATAACCCCCAGCGCTCATCCCAATAAGTCCCCTCCTTAACGCCCATCACCCATTTAGCCCATCCCCCCCACCTCCTCTCCAGCAACCCTCAGTTAGTTCTCTGCATTTAAGAGTCTCTTATGGTTTTTATCTTATTTTTCTTATTTATCTTATCACTGTTTTTGTCTTATTTTTCCTTCCCTTCCCCTATGTTCATTTGTTTTGTTTCTTAAACCCCACCTATGAGTGGAATCATAATTTGTCTTTCTCTGACTGACTTGTTCTGCTTAGTTTTTATTATGTTTGAATAGCCAACTCCTTTATGTTTTATTTTTTAATTAAAACATTGAAATGCAGGAATCTATCGCATGCTGCAAATAAGACAGAAGAAGAGTTCATATACCAGAGACATGTATATTATAGATTACTTTAGATGCAGTCAGATCTCCGCTAAAAGGTCACCTATAAAAGGGTTTTCTTAACCACTCCATGAAAATAACACTAATCCATTAATCTCTCTTTGACAGCTTTACTTTTCTCTATAGTACCAGTCCCTTCCTAACATTGTATTAAGTGTGCATTCCTTCATTGTTTGCTTCTCTTACTTGCAAGGTCGATCTTCAGCTGTCTTTGGTTCACAGCTGCAGAACAGTGCATAAAATTGTGCCACTGCTCGGTGCATGAAATCGTGTTCTTCCTTCGCCAGTAGGCATGTCCTTCCCCTCTAGGGTACAAGTGTCACCCTCCAGCAAAGCCCAGTGCATTCACTTCACCCCCCATAGAAAAGGTTCTCCTTATTGGTTCTCCCATAGACACGTATTATATTTTATTTTGTTCCTCAGTTGATGTTATTTTACAGTCCTATTTATATCTGCCTTTATATACTAAATTATATCCTCCTTGAAGATAGAATCATACCTGAAATTTTTTATAACTTCACAGTGTTTGACTCTGCAACATACAGTTTCCACATAATATACAAATGGTGGTGGAATAAATGAGTAGATCGGAAGGCATAGGGATGATTGAATTCACCAACAACATTCGAGTTAAAGTGTCATTAGAACTTTCATTTGTAGGTGTCAAATGTTGAAATTTATCACCCCATAATTACTTCTTTCAGGGTTACGTAATTACTGCTGTGCTCCCGTTCTCATTTCTTTAAGGAGACTTTTTTTTTTTTTTTTTTTTTTTTTTTTTGCCTGGTAGGAAAGTTAAAAGCGCACAAATCTAAGCAGAAGGAAAAGACACATTTTGGGGTAGAGAGGCTGGGCCTCCTTTCTCCTGGCTCTGTGTCCCCTTGTTGAGCGCCATGAGTGACTGTACTACCAACTATTGACATAGTCTGGGCTCTTTAGCTCGCTTCTCCCCAGGTACCGAGGGATGACTTCTCTACTGGATGGGTTTAAGAGAGGAACTGGGCTCGCACTTTCCTCACTTCCTTTTAGAAGCTAGCATGCTCTCAGAAAGCGGAAATCTCGGCTTTGCCAGAAACATGTTAGCGGGCGAGCTCTGGGACAGCCGGGTTTAGGTCTGCATGTTTGCAGAGGAGGAGTTGGCTCCGAGGAAACACCAGGAGCTGGTATTTCGTCCAGAGAACCACGGACAAATAAATAAGACGATGGAGGGTGGAAATGGAAAGCTAACGAACGTGGGCTGAAGAGGCTCCTGTGGGATGGGACCGGAAGACACTGTGAGAGGTTCATTTATTAGTAAGCACAGAAACCCACGTGGCTGGTTAGCCCTGGCAGTTTGGCGCAGCTTTGCTGACACAGTTTCTACAGCTATGGAGCCCCGCTCGTTTCTACAGCTACGGAACTGGTCATCCCCCTGCCCCTGCGTGCAGCCTAGGGGAACAGCTGTGGAGAGTGGCGGTTTCTGTACAGGCAGGGTGTGCAGGTGGCAGGTGTGGACACAAGCACAGCTGTGGAGGCCTCAACCATTTGGCCTGATGTGAGCAGAGCAGCAACCCCCCCCCCCACCCATGTTCTCCAATCTCTACTCTTGACAGCTTGTCCTCAGAGGACAATACTTAATTCCGTGAACTTCTGAGATTCAGACTGTGCCCTCACCCGTTTAGGGGACGTATATTTTATTAATAACTTTAAATGCGTGGGGCTTTTGGAAATATTGCCTTGGCTTGAGATAGAAAAAAATAAATCGGGAGGTAGAAAGAGGTGTTTCACATCGACCGTTTCCAGCCCAGCTTTGCCAGGTTTCCGCAGCATGTTTGTGAGACCCTCAGGGACCTCGGGAACAAGTCCCTGCACACCTGGAAAACTCCTTGCTGCCTGCTGACCACCATGAGTTTTCTTTTTTAAAAAAAATTTTTTTAACGTTTATTTTTGAGACAGAGAGAGACAGAGCATGGGTGGGGGAGGAGCAGAGAGAGAGGGAGACCCAGAATCCGAAGCAGTCTCCAGTCCCCGAGCGGTCAGCACAGAGCCCGACGCGGGGCTTGAAGTCAAGGACCGTGAGATCATGACCTGAGCCAAAGTCCGACGCTTAACCGACCAAGCCACCCAGGCGCCCCGAGTTTTCTTGCAGAGCAAAGCACCAGCTAAGAGGCAAGCGAGTCCGGGGCAAACCAGCTTGCGCCAAGACGGAGCCCAGTACTGAACTTTCACCGACTTTCCCCCCTCATTATGATACTAAAAATCATGCCCAGGGGTGGAGATTTAACGTGTTAATTACACGCGAGAAACACTTGAAGAAGCAGGACCCTTAAGCGCACAGGTGCTTCCACTCCACCCTCTTTCCAAAACCTGCTTCTTTAAAATATTCTCCCTGACCTCTCCTCGGAGAGTCAGCCTGGCCATTGCTTCGTTTGTGCCGCCTCCTTGGTGCTCCAGCCTCAGGAGCATGTGCTTTTTCATCTCGGGTCCGGGCCGATTTTCACCATTGCTGGACCCAAGGACCCGAGTCCATCTGTGGACCAGGAAGGGGCGCTAAGAGGAGACGCGACCCAGTAGAACTAGGGACGCTAGACCCGGACCAACGCCCACGACTGAAGGGCCGCCAGGCCTCTCTGTTCCGAGTCACGGGGACTGGTGGGTCTCCAGTCTCCCCTTTTCCTCACTGCCCTTCAGGCAATGCTCTGACCCCATCCCTTCACTCCTGTCAGGATTTTCTATCTTCTCTTAGCAGTTTTGTTTGCTCCCTTGTTTTCCTTCAACAGAAGGACGTAATCTCAGTGACCGGACTGCACCAGGGCTCTGCTCCTGGCAGGTGTAAGGGACCTATCCCAGGCCCTGCAGGTGCAGCTGGCCTGGGCCTTCAGAAGGTAGTTGACGCCACCCACAGACTTGGAGCATTTGAAGCCTCCCACCGGAGCAGGAGCCCCCTGGTTCTTATCTTTGCTACCAGTACCCTTGGAAAAAGGGACTCCCATTTAGGTCCCTTTGAGCGGTGATTTTGGGAGATTCCTGCCAGGACCGATCAACCCGGTAAGGGGCTAGAGCTCCTGGGCTAGAGTTAGAGTCCGCTTTTGGGCTTCCTTTTCTTTGTCCCTCTCTTTGTCTTTTTTTTTTTTTTTTTTAACCACCTTTTCTCCCCTCTGGGAGGTCCCTGATTTGTAACTTTGTTGGAAAACCTATTTACCTTTGGGGTTGCCTGGATGGCCCAGT